CCCCCCCCCCCCCTTCCCTCCCCCCCTGTACACACTGTACTGCGCCACCCACTCACCCGTGGCTCTCCATGACCTCCAGGAACATGGAGTTGATCTCCTGCTCGGAAGGGAGGGGCACCACGGACGCGTCGTAGCCGCCGCCGCCGCCGCCGCCGCCGCCGCCGCCGCCGCCGCCGGAGCTCCCNCCCCCCCCCCCCCCCCCCCCGCCGAGGGACGCGCCTCCCTTCTTCCCAAACCGCTTCTTCATTGCCGTTGCTGTTGTTGTTACCGTTGCTCGTTCACACGCGTTTACTGAATGACGCCACGCCTTTTTGCGGCGACCAGCTCGCACGCCCGCTGCGGAGAGGCGCCACGACCAATAGGAGGATGAGCAGCAGAAGCGCTGCTCACAGGCCAACTACAACGTGAGCGGGTGCGGAGGGGGAGGGATCGGGTTGCCGGCCCTCCGCTCAGTGCTGCCTAATACCCCCTCCTCTCTTTGTCTATTTCTCTCTCCCTCTCGCGCGCGTTCGTGTTTCACGCTGCCGCTGCCTCTCAGCTCTCTGACAACAAGCCGCCGCGACCCAGAGTAAACTCCAGCGAAAAACGCGTCCCGCCGGAGAACAGCCCACGCCACGGCGATTGGTTCCCGATAACGTTCCAAGAAACGTTCCTGAGAACGGGACTGGACGGAGGTTCTCGGAGAGAAGCCCCTCAGGCCTCCCTACAACCCTTCCTTCCTCCAAGCCTCAGCCAGCCAACGTCAAGCAGAAGCTCTCACGCTCTGTCGTTATTGTTCCGAGGTTTCTTTGTTTCCCTCCCGCCTGTACCCGACCCGAAGACGCGTTATCCTCGACGCCTTCGGGGGAGGCAACGAGCGGAGAGCTTCGATGCTGGCGTCCGTGAGAGAGGGGCGGGGGGGGGAGGAGGGCGGAGGGGGAGGTTAACAAATAATTTGGGAGCGCGCTCAAGTATCTCTGGGGCACAGCGTTTCCAAGACGGGAGTGGTAATCCCACGGTAAACAAAGAAAAAAAACACCGCAAACAAGCCTCGAGTTTCCTGTGCCGCCAGCTCTACAACAGCATTGTCTAATTGGAAGGGGGGAAAGGCCGTTGGGTCAAAACAGCGCGCGATCCCCTGAGACGTGGGGCATGGATGGAGAATTACCGTAAGTAGCGTAAGATAACACACCCCCTGGATCAACTTCCAAAGCTTGATTCCTCCACGAGAAAAGAGGATGCCGAAAATCAAATGACATGTATTCGGGAAGCTCTCTGGACGAGACGGTTCCAACGCCGCCATTTTCGACACACCGTCACTGATTTTCCTGCGGAGTGATCGAGCTTTGAAAATCGGTCTAGGGGGGGGGGGCGAGATCGTATGCAACCCACGGGTAAACCGCTACACAAACGACGGGACGTGGAAGGGCAGCATCCGAGGCCATCGACGATGGCAGGGACTTAGGTACGCAGGCAGATCAGACCCATTTTGGTGGTGCCGGAAGGCTTGGCCGGTGGTGCCAGCTGGACCCACGCGTGTGTGGTGCGGTTATTGAACTGCTCGTGGGATCATCGATAAACACATGCTTGCAGGCGTATGGTAGCGCCAGTTGCACATGACATCATACCCCTCCCCTCGACCGATTCTCGAAGCTCGGTTACTCCACAGCAAAAAAAGAAGCAGTGGGGGTGCCGAACAACGACGGCATTGGAACCGTCGCGTCGAGAGCTTCGCGAAGACCCAATCTGCGACTCTCACGTTGTACCGCCTTCGTCGTGGGGAGTGATCGAGCTTTGGAAATCGACCCAAGGAAAGGGGGTGCTATCTTACGTCATGTCACCTACGGTGTGCACAGCACCAGTGGTAGCAGCAGCACAGCGAGGTTGCAAAAATAGCAGTCGTCTGCAACAGAGTTTCGAGAGAGGAAGGAGGCAGAATGTTGTCCCTGAACTGCGGTAACAAAAAAAACGCAAGAGACAGGAGGTTTGCGTGGTTTGCCGCAAAACTGCTGTACCGCGGGGGGCGGGGGGGGCATCCAAGCCCACCCTTGGAGACCCATTCATCATGCTGGACATCAAGAAGAGGCCTTTGTCCTGCATTGTTTGAACACAAACGTGCGCAAGGGATCTGTTGCGCAATGGTGTTCAGGGATGTGCGAGGCGCAGGCCACACGTTCGTCCGTCGTTCCGTGTACCGCTGCCAGCAGGGGAGATGCGATAGCCGGCCTAGGGCTGAAGATTGCTAAATAAGGGAGACGGCCACCGGTACCTTGTAGTCGAGATGGGTATGGTATGCAAGCATACATTTGTACTGCGGCTGTAGGCTCGACCGCGGTACAGCAGTATTGTGTTCAAGAGACAGCTACAGCAGTGGACGCAGAAAGAAACGGATATTTTTGCATCACTTCTCAAGTGACACATCATTGTTTGCCGCAAGTGCAAAAATACCCTCCGTGGATGCACGTTCTCGAGGGGAACACAACCAACCAACGACAGGTCATGCTCCCGCAGCTCGTGTTTTCTCTCTCGCGCCCGTTGTCAACCTTGACCGACAATCCCCTCGCGAGCAGCTCACTTCGTCGAACAATCGAAAAGCAAGCACACGAAACGACTCTTTTATCCTTCGAACGCGTACGTGCAACCAACACCTCCACAGCCAAAGATGCACAGTAAAGCAACGCAAAAAACACCCAATGTCATGGCTTTTCGGCGCAAACGGTGGGTAGAGCAAGCCTCTCACCAAGCACACGTTTCCCGAAAATCCTTGCGCGCCAACGCCCCAGCATCAGCTGACTGCTGCTGTTGAGTTGAGCAAAAACACTCACGCGAGACACGTCTTTGATTCTTTGCCCCCACTACTTTGTGTATGCACTGTACGGACTCTGGCGGAAATCAACGGCCAGCACATACCTCTGGGGCTCAGCTGCAGCAATCCCGTCCAGCAGGAGAGGCCTGCCACATGCACCGAGCGTGAGTATAGTGGTTTTGTGCACTCCTACTCCTCTCGGTTGTTCTGCCGCAGACCGCAGCATACAAGTCGGTTGGGGGGGGGTCGCGGATGCCCCCCCGAAAAAGGCCGCGGCGGAACAAAAAAGTGTAACGTCATAATTTTACATGTACAGCAGCCGTACGACGGTGGAGACAACGATGGTTCATGATTTCGCTGTCATGTTATGAATTACTGCTGTCCGATTCGTTGATATTTCATCCTGAACTTTTCTCTGTCGATGGAGATGGAGATGAATAAGTGTATTTTCATCTTGTTCCTGCAAGAGAAATAAGTAATGCACAGCAGCAGTAATGTAATCCTGACTGAACTTGCTCATCATGTTCAGAGCTCTGTGGCTACAGGCTGTACAGCAGGAGTCGATTCTCATGACTCAAAGAGCAGGAAGGCAAAAAGATGTATTTCAAGCGCACAGACAAATAGAATTAGAGCGTCCTCCCTCAAATGAAACACCTTCACATATTGTTCACAAGAAATGACCTAAACATTTATTTGAAACGGCAAACGAAGAAAATGGGATCGAAAGACCAAAAAATATCCGTCATGCCCGCCCCCCCCCCCCCCCCCCTTCCTCGCTCCGGTGGAGACGAAGCAAAACCGAAAAGGGATTTCAGTTACCGAAGATTGCAAACGAGCGGGACGGGAACAAAAACACAGCCAAGAAGAGCAGACGGGGGCAGCGTTCCGAATTTCGGAACGACCATCACATTTCCTTCTCCGAGGGGGACTACAATCATGAGGCTTTCTGGACAACAAACGGTTGTTGTTGCGTCCACGGACGAAGCTAAAGAAGCGATTATTCCACCGTCCGACGCCGTGCTACAAGGAGGGCCGGGGGCAATTAAAGCGTGAGAGATTTCCCGTCGTTTGCCTCATCATCCGCCGTCACAACTTTTTTTCTTGTCACCAGAGAGAGATATATATGGTATAGACAACAGTGCTCGACGTTCTCCAGGTATATCTTGCTGTACGCTGCATTGAGGCAAACAGGCCCTGCCCGGTCGGTCGGTAGGTCGAGGCAAGCACCATCCAACCAGTCAAAGCTCTCGCCTTCTCGCCCAATGGGCAAATCTCGCTACTGCATGCAAGCGCTTGATAAAAAAGTACGGCCGCGACCGCGTGTCATCACTTCACATAGAAGAAAGAGCCATCTGGGACGTGGTGATGGGTAATCTGTCTCTGGCGTGTCGTCCCCCGCCCCCCCCCCCC